TTTGCCAACGCCTAGAGCCTAGGCGCGCTTAAGCGCTCGCTTAGACGCGCCTTTTTTAACTATGATTGCTTTGCTCTTGTATCACTGTATTTACTGATACAAACTTATTTTTAAATTGAAGGATCCAATCGAAACTCCAATGGCACAGCAGGTATGTTCACGCATGTTTCTTTAACAGGTTTGCTCTTATCAATAGCTCTTTTGATTTCAATTTCAATTGTGTATACAGTTGACTTTCATATCATGCACATTACTAGCATCACAACAGAGCCAATAGTGTTGTTGTACATGTAGACCCGTGGTACCCATCTGAAATCTTGTTGTACCGTGTAGTTTCCCCGCTTTGTATTCTTTCACTGCTGCTTTGTCTTGAACTAATATGATTTGAACCGTGTCTCTATTTTGATTTGGCAAGACAATGAAGTGACCATAGGACATAGACATATGTTTGTTTGATGCTTTTATTATGTACTAGTACTTGGCAATAGAAGACTTGGTAGTTTAATCCTGTCCACCTTACTAATGAACTGGTTCACCGAAATGAGTTTCATATACTAGTACATGCTAAACTTGTTATGTGTCTGCTTGTTTCTTCTTTTAGAATGCTGACAGAATATTGGGGAAGAGTGCCTTATTAAGCAATGGTAAAGGAAGTAATGCAGATAAGATTTAGGATAGTGACACATCCTTGTTGGTTTCCAACAAAGCTGATAAAACAGCTAAGGAAGACTATCTTGAAGACAGCGAGACAACCCCAAAGTCCTGTCTTGGTTTAGTGTTCGAGTTACTGGCCACTACCGCTTGCACAAGCTATTCAAACTCACTGTCTGAATCAGTTCGGTTTCTTGAGTCTCAACTACAAGCTGAAAGACATCGATCAGCTGTGCTGCGACAAGAAGTGGAAGGACTGCGGAAGTCCCTGGAGCATTCAGATGCATACTTTCTGGTGCAACAGCAAGCGTTGGAGGATTTTAGTGCCAAACAGGACAAAGCTAATCAGCATGCTAAGCTTATTGCCAGCATGGTGGATACCCAGGATAACGTTTCTTGAGCTCTTCTGAAGTTGTTTCAGTTATGCTCTTGTTGTGCTGCCGCGTTTATTTGCACTGGTGGCCAATTTTGACGGCCAGTGTATGTAATATGCTGCTTTGTTCCCTATATTTGCACTAGTGGCGAACTTTGATGCCCAGTGGATGTAATATGTGTAATAGCGGTAATAGGCTAGCGTTAATTGCTTGCTTATTTATTTCCTTATTGTCTTGTTTAGTTGTTTGCTTGTAGTCACTGCAGTTCTTTTTCTGTGTTTTTCTAGTGGCCACAATAGCCTATTTTTGGTAACTAGGCCAAAATAATCATGGCAACACACGGACTGTTGTAACGATGGGCCTCCTGCAAGCCGTATGTTCCATGGGCCTTCTTCCGGCCGTAGGATCCATTGGCCTTCTATACGGGTCGTAGGATCCATTGACCTTCTATACGGGCCTTAGGGTCCATGGGCCTTCTACGGGCCGTAGGGTCCATGGGACTTCTACCGGCCGTACGACCCATGGGCCTTCTACGGGCCGTAGATCCATGGGCCTTCTACGGGGCGTATCATCATTTCGCTAATCATGGGTCATACAATTCGTGGACCATAACGAGCCGTTAATAGACCGTATTTGATAACTCTATGAAAATAGCCCAACGGGTTTTTTTGACATGAAAACGGCCCAACGTATTAATGGTCCGCAAACGGGCCGACTGTAACGACGGGCTGAATTTGGCCCACAAGCAGAAAATGACAGTAATGGGCCGTATGTAACCGAATGCTGCAAATGAGCCCAAGAATCAATGGACCCTGAGAAGGACGAAAGAGAACTTGGGCTGGAAACGGCCCAATAGAATAACGGGTCGTTAATGCGTATAAAGTGATACACTGTTCATTACAGGCCAGTTTCACCACGGGCCGTTAATGGGCCAAGAGTTACAAAGGGCCTCATATGGGCCGAAAGAAGTCATGGGCCACACATGGGCCGGAAGTTAAAACGGGCTGGAATCATATTGGACGGCCCAGATGACGCTATTGGGCCTAATTCGGATAGGGCGTAACGGGCCCTGGGTTAGCGGGCTATAAATGGGCGATATGCGAACATGCCGTTAACAGACTTTCCGTGGGTCGGCCCGCCATGTTTTGACCAAGTCAAACGGGCCAGCCTTTTCACAAGAATGGGCCTTTGTTGGGCCGTGCCACTGTCGCCGTATCATAGGCGCCTTCGGTCCAATGAGCGGATGACATCTGTCCCAACGGTGAGCCGACACGTGTTTCCTCCAGCCAATGATGATTTTACACGTGGAAAATCCCCATTGGTCGGGGCTGTTAACGGGTTATCGGATCCAAAACCCGACCCGATAGCTTAACGGTGTTCCGTTACGGTGGATGCCATGTGTCGGTCACCCTTTACGAAAGCACTTCTGTGACGCGTGATTTATCGTCATGGAAGTGGACACTTCCGTGATGATAATTTTGGTAATGTCATGGAACACTTCTACGACAGCACAAGTATGACTATCTTGATTCTGTCATAAATTTATCATGGATGTACATGCATGACAAAAAACGCGACCTACTGTGACAAACACGTATCATCACGGATGTGTATTTTTTTTAGTGACGATGTCAATTACATGATCATGCAATGGCAATATGACAAAAGTAATGTATGTCATGATGATGATGAACGGAATGGTGGAAAGGTGCATGCCAATATATCTCGGAATGGCTATGGAAATGCCATAATAGGTAGGTATGGTGGCTGTTTTCAGGAAGATATAGGGAGGTTTATGTGTGATAGAGCGTATCGTATCACGGGGTTTGGATGCACCGGCGAAGTTTGCACCAACTCTCAAGGTGAGAAAGGGCAATGCACGGTACCGAAGAGGCTAGCAATGATGGAAAGGTAAAAGTGCGTATAATCCATGGACTCAACATTAGTCAAAAGAACTCCTATACTTATTGCAAAAATTTATAAGTCATCAAAAATCAAGCACTACGCGCATGCTCCTAGAGGGATAGATTGGTAGGAAAAGACCATGGCTCGTCTCCGACCGCCACTCATAAGGATGCACAAGCCATGTACACTTCATGTTTCAAATTTGTTATACAACTTTAACCATACGTGCATGCTACGGGACTTGCTAACTTCAACACAAGCATTCTTTAAATTCATAATCACCCAACTAGCATCACTTTAATATCACTACCTCCATATCTCAAAACAATTATCAAGTATCAAATTGATCATAGCATCCAATTCACTTCCTATGATAGTTTTTATTATACCCAACTTGGATGCCTACCATTCTAGGACCAATTTTATAACCATAACAAATACCATGTTGTTCTAAAAGACTCTCAAAATAATATAAGTGAAGCATGAGAGACTAGCAATTTCTACAAAATTAAGCCACCGCCGTGCTCTAAAAGATATAAGTGAAGCACTAGAGCAAAAACTATCAAGCTCAAAAGATATAAGTGAAGCACATAGAGTATTCTAGCAAATTTCAATCAAGTAGGCTTCTCCCAAAAGGTGTGTACAGCAACGATGATTGTGGTAAACTAAAAAGCAAAGACTAATATAATACACAACGCTCCAAGCAAAACACATACCATGTGGCGAATAAAAATATAGCTCCAAGTAAAGTTACCAATGAACGAAGACGAAAGAGGGGATGCCTTCCCGGGGCATCCCCAATCTTAGGCTTTTGGCTATTCTTGAATATCTTGGGGTGCCATGGGCATCCCCAATCTTAGACTCTTGCCACTCCTTATTCCATAGTCCATCAAAGCTTTACCCAAAACTAGAAAACTTCACAACACAAAACTCAACAGGAAATCTTATAAGCTCCGTTAGTGAAAGAAAACAAAACCACCACATAAGGTACTGTAATGAACTCATTCTTTATTTATTTTGGTGTTAAACCTACTGTATTCCAACTTATCTATGGTTTATAAACTATTTTACTAGCCATAGATGCATCAAAATAAGCAAACAACACACGAAAAACAGAATCTGACAAAAACAGAACAGTCTGTAGCAATCTGTAACTAACGCAAACTTCTGGAACTCTAAAAATCCTACCAAAATAGGAAGTCCTGTACAATTTGTCTATTGATCATCATCAGAAAGAATCAACGCAAAATCACGTTTCTGTGATTTAACAAAACTAATTTTGTGCGTGCAAAATTTCTGTTTTTCAGCAGAATCAAATTAACTATCATCATAGGTTATCCTATAGGTTCTACTTGGCACAAACACTAATTAAGACATAAAAACACATCTAAACAGAAGGTAGAAGCAAAAAAATTATTGATAAACAGAAACAAATACCAAAAACACAAATAAAATTGGGTTGCCTCCCAACTAGCGCTATCGTTTAACGCACCTAGCTAGGCATAAAAGCGAAGATATATCTAAGTAGTGCCATCTTTGATTTTCAGTTTTTAGCGGAGTCATGCTCGAATACGGGAAGTTCTTTACGTTTCCCTTCATACTCGGAAATTTTTAGATCTAAAGAATCCAACCGCTTATTGCAAAGAGTAATCAACATATTCATGCGGTGAAGATTTCCGCTAACACTTTTAAGAGGCTCAAGAGACTTTTGTAATTTTTTTGTTACTTCGCAAATCTTTCCAAACACTTGTGTCTCTTCTTGGGTAGGCTGAGGTCCTCCCTTTTGAGGTAGTGTTCCCACTATTCCCTCTATAATTTCATGCACAATACTAGGATCAATTTAATATTTTTTAGGCAACTACACAATTTAATTTTTTTTTAGACAAACTACACAATTTAAATGGACGTTGGAATTGAAGAGAAGCTGGTTCTAGGGCCCATGAGAGACCTGATTCGGACTGACATGTGGCCCAATATTTCTCGCTCGCCGAAACCCTCGCCTCCATTCCTCAATCATTCCGCAGGACCAAACCCTCCTCCGCCCTCCGCCTCCGCCCACCACCGGCGGCCATGGACGACCCGCACTTCCTCGTCGGCACCCCCAGGAGCGAGTTGCTCGCCAAGATGGAGCGCGAAGGCCGGGACCCTGCGACGCTCGACGTCGGCATAAACTTGGTGCTCTATTTCGTCTACGACTACCTCCCCGACCCGCCCGTCTCCCCCGCCCCCACCACCACCCTCTCGCTCGCCGGCGCGTCCTGGGTCTCCGACGGCGTCGACCGCATCAGCCGCCTCCCCGATGTGCTCCTCCGCGACATCATCTCCCGCCTCCCCGCCAAGGACGCCGCGCGCACCGCCGCCCTCTCCTCGCGCTGGCGCCCAATCTGGCGCTCGGCGCCCCTCGCTCTTGTCGACAGTCATCTGCTTCCGGACGGCGGCGCGGCCGGGCAGTTCACCATCGGCGCCCCCTCTCCCCGCGCCGTCACCGACGCGGTGTCCCGCGTCCTCGCGGCGCACCCGGGCCCCTTCCGCTGCGTGCACCTCACACGCACCATCATGGAGGAGCACCGGGGCGAGATGGCGCGCTGGCTCGACATCCTCGTCGCCAAGGGGGTTCAAGAACTCGTCTTTGTCAACCGCCCTTGGCCGCTAGACTTGCGCCTCCCCGCCACCATCTTCAGCTGCTCCTCACTCACCCGTCTCTATCTCGGCGTCTGGAGGATCCCGGACACCGCCGCCGTACCGCGCGGCGCCAGATTCCCCAACCTCCTGGAGCTCGGCCTCTGCATGACTGTCATGGAGGACCACGATCTGGCATTCATGCTTGAAAGAAGCCCCGTCCTGGAGTCCCTCATCATCATGGGGAGCCAGACCGGAGTGCGCCTGCGCCTCGTCAGCCAAAGCGTGCGGTGCGTTCAGCTGGGATATACCTACTTGGAGGACATCGAGGTGGTGGATGCACCTTGCCTGGAGAGGTTCTTCCAGTCGGATAATTTTTGCCAGAGCGAGCTCACTGGCCCCAGCATGAAGAACTGCTCTTCCAAGATCAAGATTGGGCGTGCACCTAACCTGCGTGTGCTGGGATACATTCGGCCAGGAGAGCAAGAGTTGGGGATTAGCAACACCATCATCGTGGTACATCCTAATTTAATTTGCTTCTCTGCCGTGTCAATTAATAACAATGCCAATGTATGATCCCAATTAGTTTATCTGACCTTAGGTGCATTATTTACAGGCTGGGGCCAAGGAGAGCATTGTGCCTACTGTCCAGATTTTGGCCATAGAGGTGCAATTCGGTTGCCGCAATTCTGTCAAGAAAGTGCCTGGTTTTCTCAGATGCTTTCCTAACCTGGGGACCCTCCATGTCCAGGTAAAATTGGTTAACTATGTAAGATCCATGAACATATTAGTCAGACTAATTATACGATTGATGGCCTGCTGCAGCATGATATGTCCTCATAGATAAGATCCCTGAACTATGAGTCTGATTAATTATATGATTGATGGCCTGCTGCAGCATGATATGTCCTCATGGATAAGATCCCTGAACTATGTATACGCTAATATGGCCTGCCGGTTGTTTTCATTTGCAGTCCCCACGCATACCTAAAGAGTCCACTGGCAAGGTCAATCTCAAGTTCTGGCAGGAGGGTGGCCCCATCAAATGTGTCCTGCAGAGCTTGAAGAAGTTGTTCTTCTACGAGTTCCGTGGGTCAAGAAGCGAAGTTGCCTTCCTCAAGTTCATTGCGGAGAGAGGTCGGGTGCTGGAGCAGATGGTGGTCGTTGTGGGCAAGGAATGTTTCTCTCCGGGAGGTGATGGTGTGAATGCCAAGCTGAAGCCTCTGACCAACGCAAAATGGAACAGCAAAGGTTGCAAACTTGAGCTCTTCAAGAGCCCACTCACTGATGTGGCAGGTCCAATTTGCAGCCACCGACATGCTTCTGATTTGGGGTTTGCTGACCCCTTTGACCTCAAGTACTACTACAAATCCGAAACGATCTCCGTAAGTTAATTAGTAGCAGCATGCCGTGCCTCTTGTGGTGCAAGAGTACTGGTAACTAGCTAGACTTTGTGTTGTTGGGCCTGACAGTCAGGTGCTAAAAAACCTGCATTTCTCCTGGCAAGCTTTCTGCATGATGAGGTTGTTTGTGCCAAGTCAAGACTTATGTGGCTAGATGCTGGTGGAAGAAGTAACTGATTGAGTTAGATAAAAAATTATTAGCACTCCCTCGGTTCCATAATAACTGTCGTGGTTTTAGTCATTTGAACTAAAACCACGGCACTTATTATGGAACGGAGGGAGTATTACTGATTACTGCAGTTGCACAGAGATATGTGAAATCTTCGCAAAACAAGAATCATATATTCACCTGTTGAGCACCAAAATAACTCTGGTTTGTCTACCTCTCTATTTACAGAGGGGTGAGAGGGGCTTCGTCGTTTTAGGTCAGGTGACCAGATCACTGGTTGTTTCGAAATATAGATAATTGTCATTTTGCTCTTATGTCCTGAGCACACTATGTGGAACACATGGATTACAGAATACTACTATTAAAGTAGCACAGACCAAACTGGAAAAATGAAGGCAGCAAGTGCACTGCAATTGAAGCGGCACACAATCAATCAAATGTACTCCTTTACATGTTATCGATCCGATTCAGCTTCTATTTAGATATCCATGAGTTGAATTTTGTTTGTTCTGGTTCAATATTTTCGCAGGCCAGCCGAATCTGTCCAGCTTGTATCCAGATCATGACCTTGTGCTTACTATTGTTGCCATTTCTTGCTTCCATCCTTGTCGTGGAGATCTTATTTCAGTTCCATTCCAATATACTTTTTCTCACTTAGTTATAATGTTTGGTTTGAACTTCATACTCTTCTTCAGAAATTAATCATATAAGCTTTCACTGATTTCCCAGCAAATATTTCAATGATATCTCATTGTTTTGAGTAAGAGAAACACTTCCACACAAATTCCCATGCACGAATACACACACAATATCTAGGAATTTCTAGCATGTTTATACAAATTTCAGTCATTTTTAAAAGTCTCACAAGTAAGTTGAACCATGTTTCGATTGGTTCCAGAAACATCTAATCTTTCTTTCAACAAACTTCAGAAATATTTCGACAGAATTCATACTGATTTGCACAATTGTTTTCAAAAAAATACATTCACATCAATTCGTACGAGTACACACAAATCTAGGAGTTCAAACATGTTTATACAAATTTCAGTCATTTTTTACAAGTCTTAGAAATAAGTTGAACCATGTTTGGATGGGTTCCAGAAACATCTAATCTTGTTTTCAGTGAGCTTGATAAACATTTTCAACAAAATTCGTACTGATTGCACAACTGCTTTAGGCAATTCATACAAGTGTGGCGGCCGCGTGGGGGCGCGCGTTGGGGCTGTTGGTGACGGCTGCGGCGGTGGCCGGCTCAGAAGATGGTGCTGCGAATCCACCGGCTAAACATTCCACAGTCCCCTGGGTTGGATCTTACAAAGTTTCACTTGATTTATGTCACTTGGGTTGGATTGATCAAGGGCTGTGTTCAGGGCCTGCTATTCTGGCTGTATTCCGCTGAGTGTTGTGATTGATCAAGTGCTTCAGACAACACAGCAAACAAACAAGAAACAACAATAGATCATGCCAATTAACAACAACACTCTCAGGGCTTAAAACTCTTTCCTTACACTAGAGTCTGTGGATTATCGCTTGGTGTCGACTAGGATTGATGCCGACACCGCAGCCGAGTGATCGAAACGACTGTTAGCTATGAACAGTCAGTCACTGTAATCGAAGCAGGTGCAACATGATGATGACTGTCAGCTATAATGAACGGTAACAACGGCTAGCTAACAGTGAACAAGGAGAAACGGCAACAGAATCTAGTGAACTGCTCATCTTCACCTGCATGCAGAGTCGATGACCTGCTCATCTTGGGCTAAAGTGCTCAAGCTCGTCGGTCACCTATGAACTGCTAGGGCTCTGCCGATCTACCAAAGCTGAACAACTCCAACATAGTATAGCAAAATAATTTATTTGTAGTAGTAATGATCTGACAAACTATTACTCCCCCCTTTTGGCAACAGAATCAAAGCTAGTGCAATTCTGCTAACCAAAGCTAGTGCTACAAACTACTCCCTCCGTTCGGAATTACTTGTCGTAGAAATGGATGTATCTAGATGTATTTTAGTTCTAGATACATCCATTTCCGAGACAAATAATTCTGAACGGAGGGAGTATGTATTACTACCCTTTTGGCAACAGAATCTATACATCAACTGCTCATCTATCAAACAAACAACACAGTTAGCAGAGTTGCAACATAGTTAACACAATCTATACATCAACTGCTCACGGCAGGTGGATCAGGCACGTCGCGCCTGCATAGAGCACAACAGCCAAAACTCCAGTGGCCTCTTTGCACGTGGAAGCTCGCCGGACACCCATCACGGGTGTCATGGCGATTGGCGAGAATGCGCGCTTGCTGTCGTCAGGCAGGGACTTCCTCCTAGTTGCATTGCAGGCGGCCATATAATTTGGTACAAAAGACTCTGTTCAGCTGAGACCAACCGAATGCATAGCAAATGCATTGATGCTCAAAACAAGTGCACAACATAGTGAAATTGCATTTGCAGTTGGACAGACCAGAAACAACATACTACTAGCTAACAGGATCCTCCCAGTTAGGGGTGATGGCGGACATATTTTGGTAAAAAAAAGTCTATCAAGCATTCAAGCTGAGACCAACGTGGCATAGCTAAATAATTCAGGCTAACAGCAACAACTGCAAAACATGGTGAACCTACAGCAGTTGGGCAAGCCAGAAAGAACATGACAGTTGCCCACTAGAGTATGAGTACCACAACATAGCATCCCACATACAACTTTACTTGGCACAAACAAGCATTCCACAGCTTGCCAAATAGGTTTTTAGCTGCTGCCAGGTCCAACAACACAAAATCTAGCTTTCTTGTTGAAGAGCTACTAATTAAATTACAAGGATACTTAAATGCGCCGTCCTGGTACTTAATGCGCGTTGATGGGCCCTGACTCCGGAATTGGCTATACGTCAAAATAATCCGAGATAGTATCCATACACGTAATTCAAGTTTAGAACTTGATAGACCCTCTAAAAGATTTAAAGTCTAAAGTGTAGAGATAGATCTATAAATTGACAAAGATAAAAATGTTTTATAATGCTTGACTTGTTGCAAATAGTTTATGACAAGATCAAGGAGTTGATTATGACGAGATTGTCTCATCATAACAATACTTAAAGTCGGTTTGGATTAAACTGGAAACTACTAAATATTTTAGTTATGAGATATAACAGATGGATGTCGAAATGATTCCCATGAGATGGAAATAGAACCAAGGATGTATATTTGATACGGTCCAAGGTGATTTTCTCGATCCAGAGGATGCTAGTAAGTGTGCAAACTTCAAAAGATCTTGTTAATAGTTTTCCAGTAAAGTACTTAGGCAATATAGTCCTTGTATTAGACATAATAATCTATGGAGATGGTAGTGTCTAATCGGGCTTAGCCAAAATACATAATGACAAAATTACTAAAGCAGTTTAGTATGAAAAATGTCAAGAAGAGTTTTCTTGTCAAAGTTGCATGGAAAGAGTTCTTAACAAGAATCGGTATCTTGAAATACGGATAAGTGAAATACATGATTTCAATCACACTTGTGTTAACTCCATGGTATGTAATAACCAGATATGTTCAAGTATTGCAAATAAGTTGTGAGTAAAGTTAACAGTATGGTCAAATTGTTGATCATAGGACAAAGTGGAAAAATCGTGATGTACTAAGGACATGCTTCTCACATATGGAGAGAATGAAGAGATTGTTGTAAAGAGTTACATCAATACATGCTTGATGTAAGTAGTAGATCAACAAAAATCTTCAATTGGTACTCCAAGCGAATTTCAGTTTCAATTAAATGATTTATGGTGGCACAGTAATTTGGAATTGGTCCAAGATAGTTACTGTGGTGAATTTTATAATAGAAGGCTGAGTATATTATTGAGCAACAATAGAGGGTGAAGAATCAAAGGTTCATTTATGAACTTATAGTATGGTTTCTAGATGATTGTGCAAATAGAACATTGTTCTCATATAGTGGTTCTATGCCTCAATCTAAGGAAATCAAAGGTCTTGCTAGTGATTCAATATATACTAAGCTTGTTTCACATAAATTACGAATTCATGTGAAAGCATGACGGATGCATAGAAATGCAAATGATACACACGGATCTAAAGTTGTCAGATTCGATAGGACTAAGTCTATACCACAAGCAAAGCATGGATTGGCACCGGATTGCCATTGGTGTAAAAGTTAGAAGTGATAACTAGATTATTGACTCTAGTGCTAGTGGGAGACTGTTGGAAATATATGCCCTAGAGGCAATAATAATCTATTATTATATCTCCATATTCATAGTTAAGAGTTTATATTCCATGTTATAACTGCTATGATCTTGCAATATGAGGTTCAGTGGAAAACTCATATGCACGTGTGGAATGATAAACAGTAACAATAGGTTCCCGGTCTTGCCTCTAAGACTGGCTCAAGTGTTGTTGGTGATCACGTTTTCTGGATCTTAGGATATCGTTCAGTGTAATGATAGTCCTAAAACAACATTGAGGGTATGATGTTAGAAGAACGATCATATGAATTGACCCAATACTTGTTTGTTATACTATGTGATTATATCGTCTGAAATCATCTATTATAACACAGAGTGTTAGCATGTCTTTTAGTTCCTCAGACCATGAGAGTGTCTCGGTCACTTCCTACCGGATGGTGGGCTTTGGGGTTTCTCAAACATCATCTATAACAAGGGGATCATAACGACAACCTTCAGGCACACCGGGAAGTCTGACAAGTGACCGGATAGCTCGAGAGTGGGATTTGTTCCTCCGACGATTGAGACGTATTCTTAGGAACCTCTCGTTGTGATGGCATCCATCATCGTCTGGCCAGACACTGG